CATGCTTGATTTGGGGTATTGATTTTATATCCTGCTACTTTGTTGAATTCATTTATGAGTTCTAGAAGTTTTCTGGTGGAACTCTTTGGATCGTCTAAAGATAGAATCATGTTGTTGGCAAATAGTGATAGTTTGAGTTTTTTTCCCTATTCATTTCCTTTTAATTTCTTCATCTGTCTAATTGCTCTGGATAGAGTTTCAAGGACTATGTTGAATAGAAGTGGTGATAGAGAGTAACCTTGTCTTATTTCAGTTTTTTGAAGGAATGCTTTTAATTTTTCTTTATTTAGAATGATGTTGGCCTTGGGTTTACCATAGATAGCTTTTACAATGTTAAGGTATATTCCTACTATACCTAGTTTTTCTAGTGTTTTGAACATGAAGGGATACTGTATTTTGTTAAGTGCTTTTTCTGTAGCTACTGAGATAATCATATGATTCTTGATTCATGATTAAAATAATACAGTGCATTGAATTTATCAAGGAATGTTAATTCACTGCAGCAGTTGAAAAAATTAAAATTATTACTTTTTTGCAACATAATTGTTTTTTATATGAACTTAACTAAAGAGAAATATAACTTTGGGGCATAAGTCATAATGACTTCTGTAGTCAGACAACCAATGCTACATCACATCAATAGACTTAAAATCAATGCTACATAGATTTTAAGTCTATTGATGTGATGATTGATTTCTATATGTTTAACCAACCTTGTATCCCTGGGATGAACTGACTTGATCATGGTACTATATCTTTTTAAATAAGTTTTTGTATGCAATTTTCCAGAATTTTATTGAGAATTTTTGCATCTATGTTCATCAGAGAGATTGAGCTGAAGTTTTCTTTCCTTGATGTGTCTTTGTCTAGTTTGGTATCAGGGTGATACTAGCTTCATAGAATGAGTTTGGAAGGGTTTTTCCTTTTATATTTCATGGAATAATTTGAGGAGCACTGGTGTTAATTCTTCTTTGAAGGTCTTGTAGAATTCAGATGAGAATCCGTCTGACTCTGAGCTTTTCTTGGTTGGTAGGCTTTGATGGCATCTTGTATTTCATTGCTTGACATTGATCTGTTTAAACTGTGTTTGTCCTCATGATTTAGTTTGGGAGGTCATGTCTCTAGAAATTTGTTGATGTCTTCAAGATATTCTATTTTATTGGAGTATAAATTTTTAAATTTTCAAAATATTTTCAAATTATCTCCTGTATTTCAGTAGTGTTCACTGTGACATTTCCTTTTTCATCACAAATTTTAGTAATTTCAGTTATATAATGAATAAAGATAGAATTTTAAAGGCCATAAGAGAAGAGAATCAGATTACAATAAGGGGAAACTAATTTAAATATCAGCTGATTTCTCAACCCACTCAAAAGTAGGGTTTAATTTATTTATATTTGGTGCTGAGAAACGAACCCAGTGCCTCACACATCCTAGTCAAGCATTCCCCACTGAGCCAACAATCCCAGCCCTAACCAAGAATTTTATATCCAGCATCATTAAACTTCAAAATTGATGATGAAATATGAACCTTTCATGATAAAAGTTAAAAGAAGTCACAACTAGAAAGCCTGCATTACAGAGTATCCTTGGCAAAATATTCCATGAGGAGGAAATTTAAAAAAAGCGAAAACCAACAAAGGAAGGAAATACAGTAAAGGAATAGTCAATCAAAGAAAAAACTAATTCAAATTAAAATCCAGAAATAAACCAAAATGAGTGGGAATACAAATTATATCTCAATAGTAACCCTAAATGTTAAGGGCCTAATCTCATCAATCAAAAGACATAGACTGGCAGACTGGATTAAAAAACAAAATCCAACAATATGCTGTCTTTAAGAGACTCACTTCATAGGCAAAGACATCCACAGAGTGAAGGTAAAAGGATGGGATAAAACATATCACTCTCATGGACCATGTAAACAATCAGGGTTTCCATTCTCATATCAGAAAAAGTGAACATCAAGGCATGGTTAATCAAAAGGGACAAAGAAAGACATTTTGTACTGCTTAAGGGCATTATATATCAAAAAGACATAACAATTATAAATATTTATGCCCCAAAGAATGGAGCATCTACATATATCAAACAAACCCTTCTGAATTTCAAGAATCAAATAGTATTACAACACAGTAATACTAGATGACTTTAACATACCTCTCTTACTACTTCATAGATCTTCCAAACAAAAACTAAACAAAAAAACTATAGAACTAAATAGTACAATCAATGATTTGGATTTAATGGGCATATGTAGAATATTTCATTCATCAACAAGCAAACACTCTTTCTTCTTAACAGCATATGGATCCTTCTCTAAAATAGACCATATGTTATGCCACAAAGCAACTCTTAGCAAATACAAAACAAAACAAAACAAAACAACAACAAGAAAGAAAGAACAAAATAAATACTGCTCTTCCTTCTATTAGATCATAATAGAATGAAATTAGAAATCAATGATAAAATAAAAAATAAAAGCTATTCCAACACCTTGAGACTAAGCAATATGCTATTGAATGAGGAATGGAGAGCAGAAGAAATCAGGAATGAAATAAGAAAAATACTTAGAGGTAAATGAGAACATTGATACAACATATCAAAATCTCTGGGACAATGCCAAGGCAGTGCTAAGAGGAAAGTTCTTTTGCATTGAGTTTATTCTTTAAAAGAATAGAAAATCAAAAAATAAATGATATAAAATTAGATCTCAAAGCCCTAGAAAATGAAGAACAAATCAACATCAAAAGCAGTATAAGACAGGAAATAATTAAAATCAGAGCTGAAATCAATGAAACTGAAACAAAAGTAACAATTGAAAAATTGACAAAACAAAAAAGTTGGTTCTTCAAAAAAAATGAAAGAAATTGATAACCCATTAGCCACACTAATGAAGATAAAGATAGAAAGCTCAAATTACAAAATACTCTACTTTTTGGTATTGTTGTTGTTTTAATCTGCTCAGGATATTATAATAAAATGTTATAGAATGATAGATGTGTGGCATAAATGAACAATCATAATCACTTAATGGTGTAGATAAATCCTGACCAGTGAAGGCTTCATGGAGTGTGCTTATGGAAGCCTAAATGTATAGGTCAACCACTCAGCATAACCTCTTTTATTTTCTGTTCATCATGTCATTTTATATTGTTATTTTAAATTCAATTCTTTCATTTAAATTAATAAAAGGCATAGTGATATTTATGGAATTCAGCCTGAGATTTCAACGATGCAATGCTTACTGGTCAAATAAGGGTAATTAGAAATTCCATCTCCTTGACATATCTTTATGTTTAAAGCCATCAAGTTTCTCTCTTCTAGTTCTCCATAAAATAATAGATTACTATAGACCAGTGTTACAGAACACTAGAATTTATTTACCTGCTATTATGGTTTGGATATGAGGTGTCCCTCAAAGGCTAATATGTGAGACAGTGCCAGAAGGCTTTGAGGTAAAATGCCTGGAATATGAGAGCCTTAACCCAATCAATGAATTACTCCCCTGATGGGAATAACTGAATGGTAACTGAAGGCAGATAGGAGGTGGGTGGCTGGAAGAAGTGGGTCATTGGTGGCATGCCTTTAGGGTATGTATTTTGACTCTAGTGAGTGAAGTTTCTTTCTGCTTTCTGATCATCCTGTGAATTGCTTCCCCCCACCACAATCTTCTGCCATGATGTTCTGCTTCACCTAGACCTACAAGAACTGGAGACAGCTGTCTGTGGACTGAGACCTCTGAAACCATGAGCCCCCCAAATAAACTTTTCCTTCTCTAAAATTGTTCTTTTATGGTCTTTTAGTCACAGCAGCAAAAAAGCTTGCTAAAACTTCTGATTTAACTGTATTGTGTTACCCATTATCCAGTTTTCCTTTATCTCTTCTCTTTTTCTCCTGCTTCTAGCCTCTAGTAATTACCATTCTACTCTTTTCTACTTTGAGATCAACTTTTTAGTTCTCATATGTGAGAGAGGACTTGTGGTATTTTCTCTCTAGCTTATTTCACTTAATGTCTTCCAGTTTTGTCTAATTTTTTCAAATGACAGGACTTCATATTCTATGTCTGGATAGTATTCCATTGTATATACATCCCTACCTTCATTTCCTCTCTCCTTCTTTCCTTCCTTCCTCCCCTTCCTTCCTTCCTCCCTTCCTTCCTTTTTTTTTAATCTTTCTCCCTTTCTCTCCTTTCTTTCCTTCCTTCCTTATAAAACTTTACAAAAAAAACTGTTGGTGGCAAATTTGACCTACTTGGTCTAGATCAGATGGAATCTATCCACCAAGCTTTAAAACTCCTTCATTGTATATTCCACAATTCCTTCATCCATTTCTATTGTTTGTATAAGTATTCCCCAAATGCTCTTGTGTTAAAAGTTAACCCCAGCCCGTGACACTAATTGAAGGTGGGGGAGCCTTTGAGAGGTGAGGAATTAATAGAAGGAAGTTAGGTCATTGGGGGGCCCTTTTTGGGATTTGGTGGAACACAGTCCCTTTTTCCTTTCTTTGCTTCCTAGCTGCCATGAGGTGCCCGCAGTCTGGCTGGGCACAATTCAGGAGCCACTTGTCAAAAGAAACTAACTTTATTTTTAGAACTACAAACGCCAAGCAAAACAGCTCCTCAGGAAAAAAACCCTCAGAGCCCAACTGCCACCACCGGCTTCCACAAGCCTCTCACCCACACACCTCACCACCTCTCACAATCCTCCTGCTCTTGAGGCTGATTGGCTGGGTTGCATGGGCGGAGCCAAAGAAGTCCCCCAGTGAGCAGCTCCGTGGTCTGAAAGGGCAGGGAAACAGCCCAATGAGCAGCTCCATGGAGGAGCCAATCAGCTAGATGTTGCTGGGGCCGCTGTGAGCCAATCATCAGCTGGCAGTCTGAAGGGCAGGGAAACAGCCCAATGAACATCACCGCAGAGGAGCCAATCAGCTAGATGTTGCTGGGGCCGCTGTGAGCCAATCATCAGCCGGAAGTTTGCTGGCAGCTGGAAGTTTGCTGGGTCCTCTTTGGCTGTGGCTCTCAACAAATAGCTTTCCTTTGCCACTTGTTCCCACCATGATATACTGTGCTGACCCAGGTCCAAGTAACAGATCTATGATCAAGGACTGAAGTCCATAACTGTAAGTCAAATATACCCTTTCTCTTTTTATATTGATTATCTCAAGTATATTGTTACAGTAATGGAAAACTAACATATCCATTCATCCATCCATGGGCACCTTTGTTAATTCTATGTCTTAGTTATTTTGAATAGTGCTGCAATCAACACAATGTGCAGGTATCTATTTGATATGCTGGTTTCGTTTTCCTTTGCATATATAGCCCGAAGTGAAATAGCTGAATCATATGATATATCTATTTTTAGTTTTTTTTTCTTTTAAGAAATCTCTATATTCTTCTCCATAATGGCTGTATTAATTTACATTTCCACCAGTAGTGTCTAAGAATTCCCTTTTCTTTTCATTTTCATCAGTGCTTGTTATTTTTTGCTTTTTTTGATAGTAGTCATTCTGACTGGAGTGAAATGATATCTCACTGTGGTTTCGATTTGCAATTCTCTGATGATTCATGATTCATCTTGGCCCCTTGATGTGATCAAGAGACATGATAAAGATTCCATATGTGACACAAATGCAGTATACTATTTTATAGTATTTTTTTCAATAGGCGTTTGTTGGGGCTCTGCACAATTCAGTTTTAGCAGTTTTCTCAACTGGTCATCATGAATCAAATGGAGCTAATGTGAAAATGTAGTAGTAAACATTAATTTCTCTTAGAATTAAACTATTCATAATTTATCCCTATGGCAAATTAGTCCATTTATGCTACTATGATAAAATATCTTACAGCAGACAATTTAAAAAGGAAATTTACAAAACAATTTATTTCTCATAGTTCTGAAGGCTGGGATGCTCATGATCGAAGTGGCAGAATTTAGAGTCTGGTAAGAGCCTTCTTGTATCTTTACATGATGTAAGAGATGAAAAGAGCAAAAGAAATGAGTACTGTGTTCTCAAATGGCAGAAAAAATGGAAGGGCAAAAAGGGCCTAGCTAGTTTCCTGGAGCTTGTTTATATGAGTACTATTCCATTTGTGATTACTTAATCACTTCCTGTAAGGCCCCATCTTTTAATATTGTTGCTTGAAAATAATCTTTGGCTTTGTATTCTGCCTTTTGGACATACTGTGTTGGGGTTAGTTCTCAGGCCTCCAGGGGACCTTGTCTGGCAGATTTGCTAGGCACAGCTCACACTGGAGCTCTCGGAGGTTGGAATTGGGTGTCTGGTGGTTCTACAGGTCTGGGGGTTGAGGAATGGGTCTGACTCCAAGGACCCACTAAACACTGCTCCAATGGGAGCCACATATTATAGGCTTGACCCCCCAAGCTCTGCTTGGTATTATCTTACAGGAGACTCTCTGCAGCATCCTCACTCCCAACAGCACTTCTCTGAAGAAACCTTTGAAATCTAGGTGTTGGAGGTAAGAATACTTCTCCACTTATGCACTCCAGGCATCTGCAGATGCCATGAAGGTTTACTGCTTGTTTTGTCTAGAGGTAACTAGACATGCTGTAACTCGGCATATTGACCTGTTGCTGTAGAGCCTAAGGAATGCTGTACCAGAATGTAGGGAGATGAAATTTGAGTCATTCCTGGGCAGCAAACTCCAAAGTTCCATGTTAATTCTCTAGGCCACACCTTTGAAGCTGCTCTGGCCTCAAGGCCCTGGCATTCTTGCACAGACAGCAAGAGCTCAAAAAATGCCTTTGGAGTTAGTATTCGATTGCCATGACATATAACATTGGCTTTCTTGTATCCTTACTAATCTTCTTTTCAAAGAATTACTTGGCTACACTCTCAAGTACCCTTACATCTTGGTTGGCTGGGAATTTTCCAATCTTATGTTCTGCTTCTCTTTTAAATTTTAAATTCCATCTTTAAAATGCTTTTCTCTTCTTAAAGTTTAATATAAGCAGTCAAGAGAAGCTCTGTAGCATTCATACTTTGTTTAGATATTTTTTTCTTCTAAATACCCTAGTTCATTACTCCAAAGTTCAGTCTTCCACCCACCATTGGATACAATTCAGCCAAGGTCATTGCCATTTTATAACAAGGATGGCATTTCTTCCAGTTGCCAATGAGCTATTCCTCATTTCCATCTAAGACCTTAAATGAATTCTTTTTAAAAATTAACTTATTTATTTGTTCTAATTTGTTATACGTGATGGCAGAATGCATTTCAATTCATAGTACACAAATGGAGCACAATTTTTCATTTCTCTGTTCGTACACAAAGTAGAGTCACACCATTCGTGTCTTCATACATGTACCTAGGGTAATAATGTCCATCTCATTCCACCATCTTTCCTACCCCCCCACCGCCTCTCTGCCCCTCTTTCCCCTTTGCTCTATCCAATGTGCCTCCCTTACTTCCATGCTCCCCACTGAATCCCCATTAAGGATCAGCATCCACATATCAGAGAAAACATTTGGCCTTTTATTTTTTGTGATTGGCTTCCTTCACTTAACATAATATTCTCCAACTCCATCCATTTACCATAAAATGCCATGATTTTATTCTCTTTTAATACTGAGTAATATTCCATTGTGTGTGTATGTATATATGTATATGTATGTATGTGTGTGTGTGTGTGTGTGTTTCTTTATCCATTCATCTATTGAAGGGCATCTAGGTTGTTTCCACAATTTAGCTATTGCAAATTGTGCTGCTGTAAACATTGATGGCTGAGTCACTGTAGTATACTGTTTATAAGTCCTTTGGATATAAACTGAGGAGTGGGATAGCTGGCTCAAATGATGGTTCCATTCCAAGTTTTATAGGAAATCTCTATACTGCTTTTTAGATTGATTGCACCAATTTGAAGTCCCACCAGCAATGTAAGAGGGTGCCTTTCCCCCCACATTCTCATCAACATTTATTTTTGCTTGTATTCTTGATAACTGCCATTCTGACTGAAGTGAGATGAAATCTTAGTTTCAATTTGCATTTCTCTAATTGCTAGCAATATTGAACATCTTTTCATATATTTGTTGATTGACTGTGTATCTTCTTCTAAGAAGTGTCCAGTTCCTTAGCCCATTTATTGATTTGGTTATTTGCTTTTTTGGTGTTAAGTTTTTTGAGTTCTTTATATATATCCTGGAGATTAGTGCTCTATCTGATGTGCATGTGGTAAAAATTTGCTCCCATCCTGTAAGCTCTCTATTCACTTGACTGATTGTTTCATTTGCTGAGAAGAAGCTTTTTAGTTTGAATCCATTCCACTTATTGATTCTTGATTTGATTTCTTATACTTTAGGAGTCTAGTTAAGGACAAAGATACCTAATCTGACATGATGATAATTTGGACCCACTTTTCCTTCTATTAGGCACAGGGTCTCTTGGTCTAATTCATAGGTCCTTGATCCACTTTGAGTTAATTTTTGTGCATGGTAAGAGACAGGGTTTACTTTCATTTTTCTGCATATGGACTTCCAGTTTTTCCAGAAAATAAATTCAGCAAAGTAGCAGGATATAATATTAATACCCATAAATTAAATGCATATCTGTACATCAGTGATGAATCCTCTAAAAGAGAAATTAGGAAAACTACTACATTCACAATAGCCTCAAAACAAAACAAAACAAAAAAACAAAAAACCTTGGGAAAGATCTCTCCTGTTCTTGGATAGGCAGAATTAATATTGTCAAAATGACCATACTACCAAAAACACCATACAGATTTAATGCAATTCCAGTCAAAATCCCAATGACATTCCTCATAGAAATAGAAAGGCAATTATGAAATACATTTGGAAAAATAAGAGATCCAGAATAGCCAAAGCAATCCTTAGAAGGAAGAGTGAAGCAGGTGGCTTAAACTATACCAGAATTTAAACTATTCTACAGAGCAATAGTAACAAAAATAGCATGGTATTGGCACCAAAATAGACTTGTAGACCAGTGGTATAGAACAGAGGACATAGAGACCAACCTATATAAGTACAGTTATCTCATACTAGAAAAAGGCACCAAAAACATACATTGGATAAAAGATAGCCTCTTCAATAAATAGTGCTGGGAAAACGAGAATTGCCTTTGACATCCGTATTTCTACCAGTGACCATTCTGTTTAAAACCACTTAGATAATATCTAAGAAGATGTAGACTTTCTCTGCATTTCTCCTTTTATGAGCCCTCAACAAAGTCACATTTAATGCTGTTTATTTCACTGGAGGATTTTCCTAGCATGCATTTCTATACTCCTCCTCTACTCATTACTCAGTTCCAAAGCCCACCTGTATATTTTTACAAATTTGTTATAACAGCATCTCACTTCATGAAATCAATTTTTCTTAGCCTGTTCATGCTGCTATGATAAAACATCTTAAACTGAGTGAATTATTAGAACAAAAAGTTTATTTCTTATGGTTCTAGAATCTCAGAAATCCAAGATTTAGACACTGATGTTTCATGTTTGGTGCTACTTAATTCTTATTTTTGTCCTCATCTCAAATGGCAAAAAAGAGTGAAAAGAGAAAGAAAGAAAGAAAGAAAGAAAGAAAGAAAGGAAGGAAGGAAAAGGGCTTAATTAGTTCCCTTGAACTTTTTTTTTCTAATAAGGTTATATAATCCATTCATGAGGGGAGTTACATTGAAGATTAAGTTTCAACATGAATTTTGGAAGTAACACAACATTCAAACCATAGCACTGCTACCAATTTCTTTTTGCCAATTGGTCAGAAAGTGACCTTTTAAGTAAAGTTTTGCTTATGCTTGATTTATAATTAATAAAGTAAAAGCTGAATGTCAAGAATATAAATTGTACGTAAGTTTGACAGGAAAACAAACATTTTTTAATTATAATATTCTGTTTTAGTTTAATTTACTATGGTTTTATAATTACAAATACTTTATCATGTATAATCATTGCTTAGCAAAGTGTTAATAGAATCATTGGAAGTTCTTCTAAAAGCCCTTTTGTTGAAGAAGATGGAATGAAGAAAGAACTCTTAATAAAATATTATTTGTCATCTAGAGCCAACTAGACATTTTATGGATGACCAAAAAGACTAGGCAATCATAAGAAGAATTTAGAATTTTATATAAATAAAACATTCTATATGCTACAGTTCTATAGATAACAACTAATAGTAAGCATTATGTTTATCTTAGAAAAAGATTTTTTTTTCTTTTTACCCAGGATCATCGACTTTGACTTTCTTATAACTGAAGCATAAAAGAACAGAAGTTCTTTGTGAAAATCTTGATGGCATTTTTTTCTTTACTGCAAAAATCAAATATTTGACTCTGGACCAAACTATAAATAACTTCCTCAGGGAACTCAGTACCACTTGTGAGAAAAGTTTTGTACAATTGTCTTTTCCTTATTTTTTTTCTTGTAAGTGCACTTTTACTTTAAAAACATTCTGAGATTTTTTTCCCCTTCTCTATTTGGCATTGCTATATTAGACTCAGGAGTGGTTCAGATGTGAGAAATGGAGAATATTTAGTGAGTTCAAAAATAGGACTTGAGTGCTTTTGTCTTTTTCATTTCTATTTTTCTTTAAAGTAATTGGCTTGTTTCAATTGTTAATCAAAAAACAAAGGGCTGCTGTCCCCTTACCCACCATGGTTTCCTGTTGTGCACTAAGATCAAATCCATGTCCCGTGTGTATGGTAGGAATGAGACTCTCATAAATATTATACCAACTTCTCAAATTTCTTGCTTATCTTCATACTTTCTACTTGGTCTACTTGGTGATGTAACCACAAAAGTATCAGAAAGCATAAGAACTTATTGTAAAAGGTACTTTAGAGATCCTATAAGCAAAATGAGTTTAAAGAGAAAGTAACTATGAGTCTGTGATAGTTTTCATTAATTTCGTAATGCTTGTTGAACTTCCAAATGTAGTAAAAATGACAATTGTTTCTGTTCTTAAATCATCCAGTCTAGTTCCAGTAAGATGGAATTATTTTAAAGGACTTGTGTAACAAGATGGAGGTCCTGTGGATGGTGTTGATTATGGTAAGGTAGGCCTTGTGCAGAACTGAACTGGTGAGGCTGGTGAGGCTGGCTCAGCAGCTGCAGTGGTGGACTCTGTCCAGTGCTCCACAGGGAATATCTCTCAGCCTCTCTATTTCTTTGATTCTTTCAGCTGAAATGTGGTTTCTTTGTTATGCTTTTTCTCCTTAACATCCTGCACCTACCCCTGATTCTTTCTTCATAACTTGAACTATCCCATCATACCCTCTGTTTCACCTCCTGACTTCTGTTTGTACCATCTTTTACTTCCAGTTCCCACTGCTGATAACCAATCCTCACCATATTTCCCAATTTCAAGACTGAGATATGGGTGATCTTGGTTAAGCTTTACACAAGCCAATTTAAGGGTCACTAGACAAGTGAAATGTGGTCTCACCTTGGATAAGATGCCTATCCATTGTAGTCAGTCAGATCCCAGGGGAGACAGGGGAGA